CTCTCATTTTCTTTCTGTAGAGATCTGTGTGTGTGTGTGTGTGTTGCTATTCTTCCCCAGGACCACGATCTGCTCAACATCTTTTAGGAGTCTGGAATTCTGGCTGTAAATTCATTTGTTCTGATCCCGACTGGAATTTTGACCCTCCCATAAGCTTTACATTAGCATGGGTGTATTTCTTGGCCAGTTAGTTCACCCAAATTGCAATGACATTGGTTTCCTTGCACTGTGGGCCGGTCTATGGACGGGGTATGACAAAAACATGCTTTGGTTTGGTTTCCCTTGCATTGTTGTCACGTGGTGGCGTTTTGGCATTTGTGGCACAGATCTCATTCAGGTCATTTGACCGATATTGGCATTTGTCGCGCATCAGTATGAAAAATGTATGCACTCACTAACTGTAAGTCGCTCTGGATAAGAGCGTCTGCTAACTGACTAAAACGTAAAATGTAATCATGTTCAAATCAATTTGAGATACATTTGGACATGATAGAGTCCCCTGTAGCTCAGTTGGTAGAGCATGGCGCTTGCAACGCCAGGGTTGTGGGTTCGTTTCCCACGGGGGGCCAGTATGAAAATGTATGCACTCACTAACTGTAAGTCGCTCTGGATAAGAGCGTCTGCTAAATGACTAAAATGTCAAATGTAAATGTACAGACAGAGTAGCTGTGGTAGAGTACAGACAGAGTAGCTGTGGTACAGTACAAACAGAGTAGCTGTGGTACAGTACAGACAGAGTAGCTGTGGTACAGTACAGACAGAGTAGCTGTGGTACAGTACAGACAGAGTAGCTGTGGTACAGTACAGACAGAGTAGCTGTGGTACAGTACAGTCAGAGTAGCTATGGTACAGTACAGACAGAGTAGCTGTGGTACAGTACAGACAGAGTAGCTGTGGTACAGTACAGACAGAGTAGCTGTGGTACAGTACAGCCAGAGTAGCTGTAGTACAGTAACATACAGTCAGAGTAGATGTGGAACAGTACAGACAGAGTACTGTGGTACGTACACAACAGTGAGCGGTGGTACAGGTAACGAAAAAGTAGTCGTGTGGTCACAGAACCAACAACGTAGCTGTGGTACAGTACAGACAGAGTAGCTGTGGTACCAGTACAGTCAGAGTAGCCTGTGGTACAGTACAGTCAGAGTAGCTTGTGGTATCAGTACGATAGAGGAGCTGTGGTACAGAACCAAACAGAGTTAAGCTGTGGGTACAGTACAGTCGAGTAGATGTGGAACAGTACAGACAGAGTAGCTGTGGTTCAAGTACAAACATGAGTAGCTGTGGTACGTACCAGAAAAAACGTAGCTGGTGGTGACAGTACAAACCAGAGTAGCTGTGGTACAGTACCGACAGAGTAGCTGTGGGTTTACAGTACAGACAGAGTACTGGTGGTACAGTCCAGACAGAGTAGCTGTGGTACAGTCAACAGTACAAAGTATCTTGGTACAATAACCGAAAGAAAAAGTAGCTGTTGTACAGTTACAGACCGAGTAGCTATGGTACAGTACAGACAGAGTACGGGTGGGTACAGTACAAACAGAGTAACTGTGGTACAGTACAGTCAGAGTAGCTATGGTACAGTACAGACAGAGTAGCTGTGGTACAGTACAGACAGAGTAGCTGTGGTACAGTAAAACAAAGTAGCTGTGGTACAATACAGTCAGAGTAGCTGTGGTACAGTACAGACAGAGTAGCTGTGGTACAGTAAACAGTACAGACAGAGTAGCTGTTGTACAGTACAAACAGAGTAGCTGTGGTACTGTACAGTCAGAGTAGCTGTGATACAGTAGAGACAGAGTAGCTGTGGTACAGTACAAACAGAGTAGCTGTGGTACAG